AGGTGATACATGTGGGGAAAGCAGTTCTAACTCAGATACTCGGTGGGTTCTGAAGAAACTATTTTCTCTCAGGAAGAGATCTTGGACCTGTGGTAGGTAATATTGTGTAAACATCAGCTCACTGTCCAGACATGGTCAAGCAAGTAAACAGGACAGTAAGGATTAGAAGAAAAGGAGTGTTTTTAAAAGGATAAAGAGTGTAGAAGAGAAAAGAATTATGCCAGTTTTAATCCCTGGTAGATATGCCTTCAAAGCACTGAAGCAAGGCTTGGTTTTCCAACCTGAAATAATAGGAAGAAAAAAATACAGAGGTGGACAATAAGAAGGATTAAGCACAGTTTCTTTGTAAAGAACAGCAGGATAGATTAGAAATCTTTAAGCCAGAGGTCTGTAAAAGCAGAATAAAAGAAGACTGTGGTTGTTCACTTTCTCTGCCATTCAGATGTAGGTAAGCTGAATTTTACAGTGTTACTTCAGTTACAGATGTTCTATCACTTTATGTGAAGCAGTCACATTGCTTGTATACTCCTTATAATGCAGGATAATAAGCCTCTGAATATTGAGCAGGTACCTTCATTGTTCTGTGAGCAATGACTAGGAATAAATCTACTTCTTTGTTTAGTTTTGAATCCAGGGTAGAAGGGAGAAATGCCATTGGAAGAATGTGGTATTCACTGCTGGCAGTGTGTGGAAGCTGGTACATTATGGCTACTGGGAAGATGAATCTTGAAATTGTATGGATTTACATCCCAGCAAAAACATTTCACATTTCATTAATATGAAAAAATAGTTGAAAAGGTGTGCAAAATCTGAAATGCTAGAAACCTTACCTTTTGGTTTTTAATTACCTGAGATCTCTATTTTGTAAGTAGAGGAAATAAACCACTGCCCTTTTTCTGGCTTTGCATAGCTCTTTGCAAAGAAGCCACTGAAAACCCTATGTTACTACAATATTACTATTCATCAGAGGCAATAGTGTGAGGCATCGTGATTGTTTAGTGTTTTATGGTCTCAGGATTTGCCCACAAAGGGATCTCAGTTCTTTTTTGCTGAAAATCATGTCGTAAGCAAGTAATCATCACAAATATGATAATTTTCCAAGTGAGATAAAGTATACTAATACTGCCTACCTAGTCATTATCTAATGCTTAAGACAAAAAAAAAAAAAAACTATATAATCCACACAGAGCATAATTACTTTGCTTCTAGTATTGCATTAGCTAGCTTCTAGTATTGCATGTACCTTGACTGATGCAAGATTCTGATACTTGGTGAAACAAGTCCTTCTGATTAATCTTTAAGCAGAATGAATACGCTTCAGTATTATGCATTGATATAGTGCTACAAAAAAATCCACCAATGCATTCCCTCGTGCATTATCCTGTCAACCTAAGTTTAACTATTTCACATGAGCAGTTTCTCACTTGTAGATCAGCAAAAAAAGGTTTATTTATACCACCTTTCAACAAGATTCCCCTTTCCTTACATTTCTTGAAGATTGAACAATGTTATGTTCAGCACAGTTCATGTTAACATGTCTGTTCTAGTTTTAGGTGTCTCTCCTCCTCAGCTTCAGAGATGTTTTTTTTTAAATTCCTGAAATAGCCCTTAGTTTTTCCCCAATAAGAGGTTTGCCTTTAGCTCCCCGTCAAAGTGATCAGGTTTGATTGTGGAGGGACATTATGAGGGACATCTCTGCAGCTGAGCAGCATCTCAGGCAGACTGAACACACAGTTCATTAGCATCATTTCACCCAGGGACTGAGTGGGCTATCTGTACAGGCATCTGAGTCCTGCAGACATAATCGTGACAGTAAGAGGACTTAATAGGTTGTTTCAAGCCTTGCTGCCCTGGTCACTGTGCCCTCAAGGCTAGATTATTATTGTCACTGCAACTGGTTTGTCACAGCAGGCAGCAGGTGGCCAGGTGGAATGGGGTGCTTTTTTCCCCAGTTAGATACATACTGAGAGCATGTTGGTGGTGCTCTCAATATACAAAGAATAAATAAAGGGTCTGCACAACTCTCAGATGAAGCAGGAGGAAAACAGGAGAGTGGGCCCCCTTTTTCCTCTTTGCTCTGTAAAGTAGAAGACTCCTGACAGAGAAGCACAAGAAAAGTTTGCTTCTTTCTAGTCATACCTGGAGAACACAGTCCATACAGATCATTTGGAGACAATGGAAGGCACGTTTTTGGAAGGTGAGCCAGATGCTCCCAGCCCTCACATACACAGAAGTTAGCTACAGCTTCTTCTGCAACAGCAGCAGAAGTTTCTCTGAGAATGAAGAAGAATGGAAGGAGAAGACAGATAAACACAAAAAACAGCAGCAGTTAAGTAGGAAAAATGTTTTTTTTTTCCTGGATGTCTACTAAAAGAACACCTGTGGTTCCTCTGGGAAACCACTAACCAAGAGAGTGAGATTTGGAGGTTCTGAAAAGCACTAAGAATGTCAGGAGGTCTCTTATGTTGGGTAGATAAAAGTTACATTTGCCAGTACTAATATTCCCAACTAAATCCAACATGTTTTCTGGTGGTTAGATTTTGTGACACTTGTTCTGAAGCTAGATCCCTTTTCAGAGAAGGATCAGTGCTACTCGAGCAGGATTTACCTCAATTGGAGGCAATATAAAATATTATAAGGAAGTATAAAATTATTCTCTGTATAATATTGCAGTGTACAGAATACCATTCTGTGAAGCTCCTTCTCAAAATAACAGGTGTCCATGAATATGTTCATACATGAATATTTGTGGGTGTTCGTATATGTGCTTACATCAGCTACATAGGCAGCTCACAGCATCTTTTATTTTGCAGTTTAGCTTTTTCAGTAGGAGTTGAGGTGTCATAAAAATTCCATGCAAATACAGTTTTATTTTTTTTTCGCATAATGTAGAAACTCCATGCTAAATTTTGCCTTATTTTTCTCAATCATAGTTTGCTAGAATCTTTCTCATTCTGGAGAGACAAGTATTTAGAACTGGGTATGTTTCTAAAGGAGATGTATTTACTAGGAGGTTTTTATGGACAGACCCTAAAACACTGCTGTGTGTCCAGTAAGGTATAAGGTATTTAGGGCAGTAGTGAATATAATTCAGTGCATCACTTCACAGCATTTCCTGACTGCCCTCACCTGTTGAACCCAGGAGTTACTGCTGCCACCGCTAAAGCAGCAGGACACAGTACACACTGTATCTCAAGAATCCAGTTCGCAGTCCAGAGTATTAGTTAAGCCAAAAATGAAGCTAACATCCTTTTCTGCTGCACTAATGCACCAATGGACATCCTTTTCTGCTGGCTGTGCTGTGGAGTGTGATAACATCCAGCACAAGAAATGGACAGACTGATAAAGCCAAGAGAATCTTCAAATGACACAGCTTAATTATGACACAGACCAAAAAGTGTCTGCCAGAGTATGTGCTTATGTGGAGCTCATCTTCAGTGCAGTAGAGCTAATTATTTTCCTAGTGTCATGGTACTAACATTCAGAGAACCTAAAATGACATGGAAACTTTTTTCTTCTTTCATATGGCAGTAAATGCCATGTTTTAGTTCTAGTGTCACTCACAGCTCTTCCAGCTGTATGGTTGTCCAAATATCTCCCCATCTTTGCTGAATCTCTGCCATACGGACAAGTGTTTCCCTGCACACAATTGTGTTCTAAGCAATGGATATTCCTCTGTGTCCTGGGGGCTCTTTGCAAATGGGTGGGGAGCTGTGAGCCAAGAGTGGTGGCAGGGCAGGGCTCTGTCCCTCCCCCAGCTTCCCAAGTCATGCCAGCAAGGCAACCCTTGGAAGCCAGCCCATGTTGACTGTGGCTGTGGAACATTTGGGTGGTGTTTGTAGTCAAATGGAGCAGGCTTCTGGGTAAGTGGAAAGGAACAAACCTAATTTTCTTCTTCAGTACAGTGGGCTAGATTTGCAATGCTGTGTACTAGCAGGAGAGAACTGGCCCGCACTCATCTTTGCACCATTTTAATGCAATTGGTCTAAAATTATATTCTTGGTATCAAAGTGGTGCTATATGGTGATATCTGAGTTGGGGCCAGTCTCTTGCCATGCTGCCTTGCTTAACTGCACACATACTACCACTGACCACCTACCAAGGGACCATCTGTAAGGCACCTAAGGCAAAGGGACCACCTGTACCATTACTGAGTGCTTCCCCTTTACTGATTTACAAAATGACATGGCAGGCCTGTGAGGGAAATGTCTACTTGTACACTGATTGGTGAAATGCTACTTTTGAGAGTTAAGAAGTAGAGGTGATGATGAAAACATGAAGGAAATAATCCTTTCCATCTGTCCCTAAAAAATATTCACTTCATACAGTCAATTTCCGTTTATTCGGATAAAGATGTTATTTATAACATTTACTTCAAATGAGAAACAATTTGTAGCAGCCTATAGGGAAGATGGGGTTTGATTATACCAGTGTATCACCAAACCCACATGTAATATGTTTTGCCCAGTTTGCATATGCATAGGTGGTCATAAATGGTGCCAAGAAGTGGAGATCTGTCCCATTCATTTTCTTTTTTTAAACCAGCAGCAGTGAAATCCCATTGTAGCTTTTTAAGAAGTTGCTAGAAGAGTATGGTATTTTTAACTTTGAAGTCCCTATAAATCAAATCATGTCTTATGTGGAGGTTTTTTCTAAGTAAATGTAAAAAAGTGTTTTTCTTTTTATGAGTAATCATTATTTCCTCTTTTGTAAAGCATTTTTAAACTAGGAAAAGCTTTGTTAAAAAGTCCTCATATGATGATAGAGTGTGAAAAAATGGGAAATATAATCTAGGTTGGGGTTTTTTTTAAATAAATTATATTTCTTTGTTTTATTGCTAATGCAAATGCATTTCAAAATCAAAGTAACTTGTTAGAATCCACAGATCTTTACACTGCTACTGAGATTGTGTTTTGATTTCTTTGACATGATCCCTGATTGCTGTAAGAAGAATCAGTTCAGTATTTTTGTTCTTAGATTCCCCCTCCTTTGTCTTGCAGCTACTTGTGGCAGATTCCATTAACAATTGCAGTAGGAAATACGAGCCACATCTCATCAGAGGCAATTATATGGGTGTCTAACAAATCAGGTAAAAATAAACTTTCCTCCCAGTGGAATCTCATAAAGCATACTTGTGTTTTCCTCATATGTATCTTTGGAATTGATCCTAGATAATTGTTTAGTTGCTCTGCACCCAGTTTTAACTGCTTAAAATGGATTGTGAAAAAAGCAGAGCTGGGAAGGGAGGGAGGAGGATGAAGGATAAGCAACAATCTAGATTTATAATATTGCAGAATTTAGACAGTATAATGTAAAGCTTTTACAAAGAAATGTAAAGTGCTAAGTATTTTATATTTGGCAAAACAAATCACTGATGAATGCAATTCACTTTATTGATGAGTGAAAGTTAAATGTAATATTGTATAATGAAGCAGATATGATGAGTATGGTTTAGAACATATGGAATTCTAGCATTTTTAACTCGATCCATAGTCTCAACCAGGCCTAAGAAATGGTTGCTGTCATTAAAATTGTCCTTATTGATCTATAAAAAATATTTGTTCTCTCTATTAGAAAATCATATGCTGGAATTCAAAAGTGCAATGTTGTGCTTACTACGTTATTTTCTTCCTCCTCAGTTCCTGGATGATCGTAACAGTATTAGTTACTGTCTGGAGGAGAGTGAGTGCTAGATGCCAGTGGTTTTTTATCACCTAAGAAAAGAAGCCCACCAAAGAAATTTCATGAAATATTTATCTATTTCCTTAGCACTTCGTGCTACATTGTCTGAGAGTTTTGGACTAGAATTAAAGACAGTGAGGGAAGACATGTGGGAACTTGAATGGAATTATTATATAGAAGGGAAAAGAAGGATGCATGCATCCCCTTGTCATGTGGACTGTAGAGGGAGAACTGACCCTTTCTTGTATACTTAGAAAGATATAGAGATTTCCCTCTAATAGAAAATTAATGGGAGAGAGGAGAGTCAAACCTGTGTGAGATGTTTCTTCTCTTTGCTAAGTTACTAAAATATATTAGTCACATAGAGCTTAGCAGCCAGAAGGACTGGAGATGAATGGTGTATGATCAGCCAAAATCTGAATACCCCAACCCTCTAGTGGTACAAGGTATGTGTTGTTACCCAGATCGTTTGCAGCCTATGAGAAAGTAGCATGTTCTATGCTGCTCCCATGAGAGAATGATCTAGCAGTGTGCTTGCAGTCAGAGCAATTTTCATACCTGGGGAGCATGCTCTCATCAAAGCATACAGGTTCTCTCTTACTTTTCAGAACTTACTATTTTGGCTATACTTTTTAACATTAACACTTCCAGAATATTTCAAGACCTGTTTGCACTTTCAGAGTCTGCCTTAATGACCTGTTGTACTTTTGTCCTTTAGGGCTTGATTGAACTCTCATTGAAATTAGTAGAAAGGTTCCCACTAACTTCAGAGCTAGTTGATCATCCCATCTCATTAGGTTGCACATGCATGCCTCCCTCCCTTCACTCCCTCCTTCAAAGTTCAGCATGTTACTATTATCTACATAGATGCTTCCTTACTGCCTTTTACTTGCAGGGTGCTGTGGAGGAACAAGTCCATAAAACTGCTAGCCACTCTTTTAAGATCTACTGCTTCTGTTGGAATGCTTTCAAGAAATCAACAAATTAATGATGGCCAGTGTGAGCAATTATTTTGGGCTGGCTACTATATAGAAATTAAAGAGGAACCTTTCCGAGTCATCAGTCTCCTGTGTAGCAAATCAATGACACTGTGATCTATTGTCATTATCCTTGTTCTTCCTCATTACTTTCACTCACTTATTCACTTGCTGTGCCTCATTGAAAATGAGACTGTAAACTTATGACTACAGAAAGAATGTCCTCTTCTACTTATTGTGGTCTAGGCTGCTATATGTATTGAGGCTGGGACACATGATTCCTGGGAGTTTTTCTGCAGCTGGTATGTTTGTTTCATGGGGATGAGAGAGGAATTCTGAGGCTCAAAATGACAATTTCCAGGTTTGATTCTTGTGGACTGGAAGAATCTTGAAGACTTTCTGTTGTACAGAGGACAGTTTCAGTATTGTCCCAGTGGGTAGTCTTGGAAAAAGTCTGCAAGCTGGAGGTGAAACAAGCTGCTGCAGAGGATATTTGAAAGATTGGAAGAGGTCACATTGTTCTTCAAGTGAGTGTAATTAAATTCAGATATGCAAACCAACTTTGGAATAAATGCTATTCATGAGGGTGTTTTCTGTGCCCTTTTTAGGAAAGAGTAGGCAATTCCTTCTTGTTGACTAAACTGTTGTGCTGAAGGAGCTTCCAGTGTGACTGGAAGAGTGGACAGGAGCTAATGAAGAGCTCTCTGTTGTTTGTTATTGTGATCTGTTGACCCTGGCTGGACACCAGGCACCCACCAAACTCACTTTATCACTCCCCTCTGAAGCTGGACACGGGAGAGAGAATATAAAAAAGTGTTCATGGATCTTAAATAAGGTCTGAGTTAGAGATCCCTCACCAAGTACTGTCTCAGCAAAACAGACTCGAAATGGGAGCAGGATAATGAGAAGTAAAAACAGACCTTAAAATGCCTTCCCCTCTCCATCCCTCCCTGTTTCCTAGCTCTGCCTCCTCTCCCCCAGCGGCGCAGGGATAAGGGAATTGGGCTTATGGCCAGTTCATCACATGTTGTTTCTCCCACTGTCCTTCCCTCAAAGTCACAGCTTCCTCTCGGGCATCCACCTGCTCTAGTGTGGGTGTCCTCCACAGGCTGCAGGTGGATCTCTGCATCCCTGTGGATCTCCATGGGCTGCAGGGGCACAGCTGCCTCACCATGGACTGCACCATGGGCTGCAGGGGAATCCCAGCTCTGGTGCCTGGAGCACCTCCTGCCCCTCCTTCTCCACTGATCTTGGTGTCTGCAGAGTTGTTCCTCTCACATGTTCTCACCCTGCTCTTCTCTGGCCACAGTTACATCTGAGCAATAACTTCTTTTTTCCTTCTTCTTGTTCTTAAATCTGTTGTCACAGAGGCATTACTACCAATTCTGGTTGGCCCAGCTTTGGCAAGCAGCATGTCCGTCTTGGACCCAGCTGGTATTGTCTCTGCTGGACATGGAAAAGCTTCTGGCAGCCTCTCACGCCTCTATGGCATTTCTCTAGCCTCCCCTCTGCTACCAAACCTGGCCATGCAAACCCAACATAGTCATTATTACTGATCACACACCTAATTTCAGCTGTCAATAGGGAAAAGGGTTCAAGTTGATGACTACCACTATGATATCTTGGCATATCACTTAAATCTTCCTATAAAATTAACCTTGTCTGTGGGTTATCTGATAGAAATGAAACCACAGCAGTTTTGAAATAGCTACATATAGAAATACATCAAAACATGTTCCTCCTTTTTTTTTTTGGTGGTATTTTGAATAACAGTATCCATCAGGAGTTAACACTGTGCCTTGCCCTAGCTCACCAAGAATGGTTATTTGCTGATGTAAGAGGCTTTTCCTTCATGTACATCCAGAAAGACAAAAGCAAAAATTGTTGATTTTTGCATCCTCTCTGCCACTGTGTCTGTAACCTCATCAAGATGTTGTAGGATACTTGTTGGTATTTTCATGAACAAAAGGATATGAGGCTGCTCTCCAGCTCTGTGAGACTGACATGAATTTAGGATGATTGAGTTTCTGCTCTTTCCTCATCTTGTCTGTCTCTGGCTACGTGCCAGAGGTAGTGAGCATGCACATCACTGATTGTTCAATATGCTGGCCAGGATCAGTTCAGATAACTGCATCTCACCACATTTGCTGGCAACAATGCTAGGTCTGTCCATTCTTCATAGCACTGAAGTGAAGGAACACGCTGGAAATTATAGCTGCATAGTGTCTTTTTGAGTTGCAGTTCATTGTCCTTTGCAGAAAATCCTGTAAAGAGAACAGTGCCAGGCCTTGGCAACTTGTTTGACAAGGTGTGCTGTCGCTGTTGAGTAAGAACAACACCGACTTACTAGAAGGCTGGTTTGCACAGCATAGTTGTTTTACTTTGGATTCTCTTTTTTACACATTGTTCTGATACAGATAGACTAGATTGGTCAATTAATTAATACCTTTCACTTGATTGGTTAATTTACAAAACACGTTTCTTATAAACAATCTTTGAGAAAAATAGGAAAACAGAGAGTAGGAAAACAACACCTGCAGGTTGTTTATAATAACAAGCTATCATTGTTTATCTTCAACTCCCTAAAGTCTCACAAGCCGATTCTGGGAAAACTTATCTAGTTTTCTTGGTCTCTGACCAGGCTGTCACATCCACAGTGCATAATATCCAAGATGTTTCAAATCTAATATAGCTCTTCCCACCTGTTTGTGGAAGGTATGTAGGCATAGTTTTGAAAGCTTTTCATTTTGCAAGTGCTTCTGCCAGTCTCTCTTCTCCTTACCCAGTGAACCATAGCATTTATGTAACCGTATTTCTACTCATCAGTTCATATACCAGTCATCAGATGATGGTCCTTTTACTGGGTTCAGTTTGTCTGGTGTGTGAAGTGGAGCTGTCTCATTTGCTCTCAGAGTGCTGCACAAAGGTCACCACCATCTTTTCCCTGTTCACTCCCCATGGCCACAGATGAGGCTGTTCTGCTTCAAGCAACTGTAAACCAGTCACTAAGGGAACATCTTGTGCTAGAGCTTCCTATCCATGCTGAGGTCAGAAACATCATGCTAAGACGGCTGCAGTGCTCTTTGTGCCTCAATCTTGCAGATCTTCTGAATGGTAAATTTTACTGAAACTGTGGAAATCATTGGTGTTACAAACTTCTGCTCTGTCATATTCCAGGGCTTGTTTCTATTTCTCCTAGATAAGTTGCCTCTTTTGTGGTTGCTATAATGATCAGTGAACATGTATCCATAGCATTTTGGGATCAGTCCAAAATCAGTAGTGGGTGGAAAGCCAGGAACCAGCTTTGGACCCATTCCATGCTTATGACTTCTAAGCAGGGCTTGTGGGAATGTGTTGGTGATTTCTGATGAAGCTGTACTAGGTGTGGAAGCACAGGCTGACCTGTGCATGTTTCTCCAAATCTAGAACTGACCTTAACCTCAAGTGAGGAGGTTTAGCTGGCATCCATTTCCTGTAGGTGAGCAGGGCTTTGGAAAAAGGCATACTTGCTGTTCCCTGGGAATCATTTTTCTGATGCTCAGTCTCCAAATAGGAGACATCTCCATGCAACTCAGAAAGTGCTGCTGAACTAGCTGACGCAGCTTTAGTCCCTGCCCTTTCCATCCCCACCTCCTGTTTATTAACTGGTTTGTTATGTACCAAGGAAATACTCCTTAGACAGACCTCCCTACCACAGTTAAAGTGACTGCTGTTCAGATTGCTCCTAATATCTCCTCAGAATTGCCATGAGATGGGGGAAAGAAAGTTCAACAGGGTAATTCCCTTCCAACAGCAAGTCCCAATTTACTTTGCCACCTCCTACTAGATAATCTCTACTTTAAGCCACTCAGCAGTCAGATTCTCCTCCAGGAACTGTTTCGTAGAAGACAGATGCTTCTGAGCTGAGGTTTGCTGGCTGCCTGCTGGGGAGCAGAGCATTAGTTGCAGCTTTAGAAAAATACCCTTTCTTTTCTTTTCTGAAACTCAGCTGCTGAGCTTTACCTGTGTTGCTTCCAGACTCCACTCCTTCATCTTTCAAAAGTAGGAAGAAGGGAAGCACTGTGAAAAAAGATCAACATACAGGTCCTGCTTTGAGCCTCAGCCAGCTGTAGTTAGGACCAGGGATACAGGACTTGGAATCTTGTGTAATTTTGACAGAGTAAGTCAGAATCATTCCCCTTATTCTAACAGCTGAAGATCCTAGCAGAAGACCGCTGCTTACATTGTATATCACCTTAGTCATTAGCAGTTTCATCATATAGGAATATTAATGGATAGAAGGGTAATTTGAAGAAAGAGTTTTGTGAGATGGAACATGATCATATTTCCTGATGTGCTCCATTTATTGTGCTAATCTCTATACCAAAATATTTTCTTTCAGCATGGAGCTATGTCAACATGGCAAGTGAGATAGATAGAATGTTTTCTTCTGGATGCCTTCTCCCTGTCTGAAAAGTTCTTGCAAGATATGCAGGATTTAGTAAAGCCAGTATAAATTATTATGAATGTCCTCATGGAACAATTTTTTGTCAGAAAAATTTTGCTTGCTGTTGTTGTCAAGAAATTGTGCTATACTTAGTATGCTAGGGGTTGTATAAGGTAAAGAGTTAAAATAACAACTGTGAGTCAAAAGACTTGAAATGGTACTGGAACTGTGTTTAGCCCATACTTTGGCAGTACTCTCTTGCAGAAGGGTGCCCTTCTCCCACACCTGCCCCACATGCTGGTTTTGATGGAATTGAAGTTGTTGGGAGATCTCAGAACTTCAAGCCACGTGCACCTGCTGGAGGAACTATCTCACACTTTGAGAGCAGAGAAACTGGGGAGAAAAATGAGACCCTAGCTGATTTTTTTACTTCAAAACAAATAAGTTTAAACGTTTCCTCCTAAATATTTCCTATATGTATGCGGCAAAACTAGAAGTTTTAGAGCCGTGTTATTTTCTGAGGCATCTAGACAAATCATGACCATGGAAAAACACTTTCTGATGGAAGAAGATTAAAAAAATGCCCTTTAATCTCACATATAATGGGATATATATTTTTGATTGACTTTTGAGAGGTGAACTAAAACTTCAAAGATGGATTTCATTCCAAATGAAATCTTTGTTGTTGTTTAGAAAGTAATGGAGGGTTTAATGGAGAGTTTAACACTGAGTTACTACCTTTTTGCTAACTATAACACTTTTAACAGAAAACTAATAAAAGTGTTTGTTGTGAGTGGAAACATTACCCAGGTATAAAAATGTTTAGTGCCTGTAATTACCAAAATAAAGAATTTATTTTGTAGGAAAGCATGAGAACTGACAGACACAAATATCAAATTCTAGTAAATTATATAGAACTATATGAAGCACATGTATCAGGCAGTCCTGTAAAAAAGCCACCTCTTTATGTAAGTTGGGAAGGTGTGAAAGATTTCTGTCCTTTATTTCAGAATGTCAATACATGAGTGATCTTATTGAAAAATAATAGGAGGAGGTTATGGTTGCATTTAAACTGAGTGAAACAGCAATAATGCCATCGTGGTTTGGAAAGATTCTTTCTTTATAATGATACATACTGGGGGTGTTGCACAGCTGTTACACGTGAAATAGCTTATTCTGAACTTGTCATATTTGACTGGGACGTATCATTCAATACTCTGTTGAAGCATAAGTAATTTCCACACTTTGGAGGTGAAAATGTAATACAAATGCCCAAAGGAGAAAAGGTGCATGTATTTTTTAATTGCATAAGATTTTGAAAATTTCCATTTAATGTATTTATTTACCCAGATGTTTTTTAATGTGTGCTGATAGCCAATTTGGTATGCTTTTAGGTAGCATTGTAGAGGTGGAAAGATTAGCTAGTTTTAAGTAGCTGCTTTCAGGACTGGTGGCATTTAAAGGTTAGTTTGCAACCAAAGAGCATGGGCAGAAAGCTGTACTGCGTTAAGGTGGTACAAGGTTACTGAGGAACAGGATTCAAGTCTTCTGTTAATAGGATGGAGCAATGGGCTGGATCTGACTTGGACCCAAGGAAAAAAGGATTTAAATAGAGGAGCAAGTCTAAGAGAATTTGCTTAGGACTGATTTGGTACAGTCCCTTGTGGAAGAAAGGACACACAAGTGTTGCAGCCTTGTTCCAAGTCAGATTGTCTGTCAGAAGCATCTTAGGTACTTTGACAGTATGAACACCTGGGAAGTCCACAGAGTTGTAGAACTCAATTCAGATTTTCTCAGTTCTATTTCTGCAGGATATATTGGATCCTAAAGAATGTGTCTGCTTGGTGCTTTACCACAGATAAAAGAGCAATAACAGTTGAATGGAACAGGCAACAATGGAATTATTCTGGGCTTAATATTTTTAATAAGTGTATTTTTCAGAGATTTTAATGGTTTCAGAACTACCTAGGGGGAAAGAGGACTATCTTTTTTAATCCTGCAGTTTTTTATCTGAATCCATGTGCATAATGAAGGTCCATGAATTTAAACATATAATTATGTGTTTTTAAGATTCAGGTCTTGCTGATCTTTGTACTTTTGCACTTTAAAGTAGTAGTTATTTGTGGGCTTGCTGTTAGTCAAGGGAGAAGCACAACTTTTATCTGTAGCCGTAGCTAACTATAATTTCCTCAGAAATTACTTTTATACAAGAAGGACTAAAACAAATCAATTTCTTTGGGAAGCCTATGTACTAGATAGTATGAGTGAATTGTAAAGACCTTACTTGCTAACTTTTTTCCCATTTGCTACCTTCAGGGAGTTCAAGGACACCAAAAAATTCTCTAATGGAATTGCATTTTATAACAAATTTTATGTATTTATTTATTTTTTTTAAATGAATGACAAGACTACTCCTTCAACAGTGTAAAAAATAATTTTATTGGTTGAAAAAAGTGTTTCTGAATTTTTAGTGAGTTCTTGTTCATGGCTAGTTTTGTCAAAATCATTTACTATATTGAAGACTTCTTCCAGGGGTGTTGAAGCCTGATGCTTTGTGCCGTGATAAAAAAGAAGGGCATGTTGTGAGTTCAGGACATTTCTGTTGCTGAAATTTTGAAATCCCTATTTCTGCAAATTATTGTGGAGTGCCTGACTGCAGAAAAACAGTAATAAATTTAGACTTTCAGCCCTAAAGTGATTACTTAAAACAAGGGGAAAGATGAAGAACAGCTTAGGGGATATAAGGTTAATTGGTCTAGCTCTAAGGAGGAAGCTCTCAGTGCTTAGTAGGTAGAAGCTGTTCAACTGGAAGTACTTTAATTTAAAATCCAATGTAAAAACTTAATCAAATACATGCAGAAACACTTAAGAATCAATTTTTTTAATCACAGGTTTACTCCTCTCTCTATAGCACATTCATTGAATTTTTTGAGTTACAATTGTAGAAAACTATTTAAGCATGGCCAGAATAAGGGTACCAGACTTAAAGTGGATACCTTTCATAAAAATAATACTTGCTAGGAAAGAAAAAGCACACTTGAAGTTCTGTGTGTGTAAATGGTCCCCATGGGAATGTCAGTTGGCATCTCTCTACATCAGAACAGATGAAGGAAATTATTAATCAAACACAGTATTTTTGTTAGTCTTTGAATTAATTTTACTGCCTTCACGTATATTTAAAGAAGGAGAAAATGTAACAGATGCACCTTTAGAATGTTTAAATTTGAAACCAAGACCCCTTCCCTTCTTCTTCTTTTTTCCCAGAACACCACAGAATTCCTGCTTTGGAAGAGGCGAGTTGGTTGCTGGGGAACATCAACCAGACTGGCTACTTCAGAGTTAATTATGATATTAGGAATTGGAAGCTGCTAATTAACCAGCTAACAAGGAACCATGAGGTGAGATCCTCTTCTCATCCCTAAAATCTGCTTTCATTGATGAACCTTCACTGTTTCATCACCTTAAATGGTTCAATTTTTGTGCTTCCCCTCACAGGTTATCTCTGTCAGTAATCGAGCAGGCTTGATTGATGATGCATTCAATCTAGCCAGGTATGTTTTCCTGAAGATCATCTATCCTCATACACATTGCTGCAATAACTCATGCAACCATTAACTCAGCAGTTGAATGTGTTTCAAAGTTAAGTGTGTTTTAAACACACTTTAGTTTCCCTCCCCTGCTTTTTTTTTTTGTATAGCTCATAAAAATGGTCTGTAGCACATTCACTACTCTTGATCAATAATTGCTGTAGGGTATTTCCGAGTCTGAAGAGATTTGATCAATTTTGCAGCAAGTTCAATTTAACACTTTGCAGATAAATAATCTCTTTCCTCTTTCTCTAATGACTGAGGGTTTCTTCTTCCATTTCTCCCAGTTGTCCCACCTCTCCTTTCTTTTACCACTGATGCTTGTGCTGTATTTAATTTGAGATGGAAGGCACCTTCAAGCTTCAGTAATTTTTTTGCCCTAACTTGTACTGTTATATCATTTTTCCAGTATCTTTCTTTTCTTATAATCTGCTAGAACAGACCCCTTTTTTCCTCTGTGGTGCTTTTCAAACATAATGGAAAAGCAGTTACATTGAGCATTTCTGGAATTTATGCAACATTTTGTGTTTTATTATGATGAGAGTTAATAATTAACACATACAGTACTGGTTAGGTAGTGCCTTCTTTACAAATGGAGGCAATGGATTGGTCCCCATTTTGAAAGCCATTATGTTGATTGTGAAAGCATAAAATGGAGGAAAATAGTGGAACACTTGTAGCTTTTTGATTTTGAGGTACTGGGAACATAGCATTAGCATAGGGTTTTGATTGCATAATAACAGATTTAATTGTAAAATTGCAAATAATGTGATTTTACTTGCACTGTCATGTCAAAGGGAGCATGAAAAGAATTCCTGATATTAGTGTCTTTACATTTAACTACAAATGGTCACTGGGGGTGTTTGGGCTTCAGTCACAGTGTCACAGCTCAGTGATGTTCTAGCATCACTGCAGCAAAAAAACAGTTGTGTGCCCTACCTCTCTGTTCCTGCTGCTGACATAAAGTAGTGATTAGCCCTTACTTAACAGTCCAGAGATGTAGTAGGGAAGAATGTATCATGGGGAGAGGTGTATCCATTTGCTTTTGGCATGGCCCTTCATTCTTGCTTTGTAACATCTTCCCATTGGTAACAGTAAAAACTAGAAATAGGTCATTATTTGACCTGTTCAGTAGGTCATGATTTGTCTACTGTCTGACTAGAAGACTATTGCAGATTATTCTGAAATATTTAGACTATAATGTGATGACAGATTATGAATTATGTGATGACTAGATGTTGAGTAAATTCATAATCTGTTCAGATTTTATTTGATTTTGAAACCTCAGAGAAATAGTATGCAGTTACACAGAGCCAGTACATCAACTTCTTTTTCCATGCACTTAATGCAGTCAGATGTGTGTAGACTTCCCTGAAAGTCTAGATCCTTAAAAAAAGCTGTTTCTTAAGCCAGATTTTGTAGGTGAGTGCTTTTCTTCTGAGTCAGTATTGAGCCAGTGCTCTAGGATGTCTTGTTCATAGAGTATTAAGGTGAGGTCTTGATTAAAGACCCAACCTGAATTGTCTGACCAAGTTTCATCTACCTAAAAATCACTCAAAAGATTAGATGAGTAATGCATTCCCCACTAATTTTCTGAAGTACTTTCATGGGGATACTTGGGAATACTAGAGCTGGCACCTTTTTCAGAGGTAACTACACTAGAACCTTATGAAGTCTTTCACAAGATCTCACATTAAAAAAAACCTTGACTTTGTTTTGTTAATGATGATCTGCAGCAGACTGCTGCTGCATTTGGTCTTCATGCACTGTGGAAAAAAGTAGTGGAGCTATAAATGTATGTCTAGACACATGTGCATACATGGATATCACTTAAGAGGAAATATTCTTCCAATAGGGATATGCAGCTAGACTCCTGTTTCCAGAGTCCTGTCATTAGTGTTACCTTGGGTGTGTGCCTTACAAGCCAGTTTGGAGGAAGGATCTGTTTGCAAACAGTAGATTTATGGTCTGTAATTCAAAAGTAGTAATAAGATATGTGGACTTGGCTAAACTTGCCATGTAGGGTATACTTCTTGTTGATCTTTGTTACATTGTTAATCTGTCTTGGTTTAAAAAGACAGGTGTCTGTTAAGGAAGGCAGGAGCCTCTCTTGAAATGGAAAATGTAAAACCCCTCCCTCCAAATTATTATAATTTTGAAATTAGGAGGCTCTAAGGCAATGATATGGGAATAGGAATAACAGTTCTTTACTAAGAAAAGTAAAAAATCCCAAATGCAATAATACAAATCAAAAAAAAAACCCAAAAAACCACTGACAGAGTCAGAATATGACCTGACACCCTGTTGGTCAGGGTGTTGGTAGCAGTCCAATTGGATGGTGGCTGCAGTCCTCCTGCAGTGACAGATGTGGTTCTGTTGAAGCAGGGATCCTGTAGAAGGGTGGAGTTTTCCTCTGAAGGTCCGGTGGTGGTGTAGATGGGCCTGGTTTTCCTTTGGGAATCCAGTGGGGAAGAAAGCTGCTCCTCTGGGAATCTGGTGGGAAAAGGCTGCCTGTGGTATTCCAAATCTCAGGTTATATATTAGGCAGGAATGCTTGGCTCCTCCCCCTGGGTGGAGCATCTCCCAATGGGATGATGTAATTTTGTCAGTCATGCAGTGACACTCAGTGGCCCATTAACAGAAGATGCTTCCTGGAGGGAGGATTGGTCTGTGGAAGAGACAAAGAAAACTGCCCAATTAACAGAAGATAACTGCCCCACCTCTAGCAAATGGCAAATAGAATACACACCTCCAGCTACATGTTTCAACTTAAGACAATCTATGGTCTTCCTATTTAAAAAAAAACAAAAACAATTATAGTGATCCTGAAGTTATTATGATTGGCTGGCTGAGAGTATGGTAAGTTTTTAGGAAAAGCTTGGTATTTTTTATTTTCATTCCCCTTTCCCCAGGCCAAAAATAAGACCAGGATTTGGCCTAATACATGCTATGTTCCTCTGTGATGAATAGGAAGGAATTAAGGAAGGCATTAAGAGACTCTTAACAGGATGTTGAGGGCTGGCCTTGACCTTGATGTTAAAGCATCAGAACTTCTTAGAAAAAGAAAGTAGTTGGAAAAGCTCTTGCTAGGACAGGCAATGGGAATTGAACCCGGATGCTGCAGTGTGGTGCAGCTTCTCCTGCCACATCTGGGACTTTGATGTGACACAGCAGTGTTCCTAAAACAAGCTCTGAGGGCTATCAGAATAACACAGACTCTTTCAATTTTCTGAAAAAGTCACTGTTCAAAAGGCCACCATCGGCCTAAAAGCAGCTTAGCTTTCCCTCCCCTGGCTGCAAGGTGCAGTGCAGAAAGTTGCCCCACTTTATTTTGGAGCAGTACCATAGTTGGATGTGCTGTGCTGGTTCAGTGTCGTGTCTGACGCAGAGTGAGCATTTCTCCCTGCCTGTATGACATTACGTGATGGGGACATTAAACACGTTCACTTGTCTCTGCCTGTGATGTGAGAGAAGGTCAGTAACCTTATTGACCAGACATAGAAGTAGTACTTGGTAGTTCAGATCTGATTTCTGAGAAGACTGGCTGTTTTTAACAGTAATTCAGTCCTCAGTTTTGGTCCCTAGTTGCAGTGATGTGTTATCTTGTAGTCTACAACTATAAACATGTATGTTTTGAGAGAGGGAAGAGAACTGTGGAATACATACTTTAATTCTAATCCCTAGCTATTATTTTTAATGCTAGAATAATGCAAAAATTAAAACAATTTATTAAATTCATGCTGGTCCTTTCAAAAATTGCTTCTAATGTAAACAGGTTTTTTTTTACTGTACTGTGGAGACTGTATTTCTTCAAAATACCCTGTCCTTCTTAGAAACTTCTGAAGTACTTCCTACTGTGCTCTTGAACTTGATACAGATAATACCAAAAGGTTTTGACTCAATTTTTCCGCTATTATAATATTGTCTGTCCTAGTATGATTATTTCTATGTCATTATACTGCTAATTGATTTGTTTGGGGAATGAGTGCAGCTCTTCTCTTTAGTAAAATTTATAATATTTAGAACTAGAGAAAAATGAAAGAAAGTACTCATATAAATTTTTTGGAATGGCACATTTTATTTTTTTAAAGGTATGTTTGATTTCATTCCTCTGAAATGTTTATAATCCTTCTACTGACCAGCATAGTGATTTCTTGAAAATCAACAACATAAATGAATTGATACTGCCAAGGAATATATTAAGCTCTATAGCAGTTAATTGCAATTTTTTGGGTCCATTTTATATGGAAATGCATTCCTTCATCTTCCTTCTTGCTATATTTTGGTTTATATAACATTCACCAAGGAGAGTTGAGTGGAATAATAACAACAAAAGAAAGTTACAACTTTTTTGTTTTTCAGATTTTTAAGCGTAATTCTTGGCTGTAGTGCATGCACATACCCTTAAGATATAAAAAGCTGTAGCCTTGGCAGAACATAGCTTATGGCAATTCATGTCCCATGTTCTTCAGCAATAATAGCACCTTGACACTCCTTCTTCCCTTCTTCTTGAAGATTCTTTATCTTTTTGTTTGCATGAGGTTTCAGTAGAATTTAAAAATAGTTGACTCTAGTAAATGATACTAGTAAACATTGACTGAGGAAGCCCAGAAGCCACGAGAAGACAAACAGAACTGTGGTTCCCATCTAGGCATAAACAGAGCAGAGGGCAGGTCAGGCAGCTCCAATAAGCAGCATCACAATGATTAACAAAGGTTTCACTGTTTCATAAGAGTGTGAATAACCTTGTCAACTTCTCACATCTTTCTCTTTCCTTAGGATAAGGGGTCAGTTAGTGAGTATGTGAGGTGGGACGCCTCCCAATTTACTTTAGGCATGCCAAAGTTTCACCTGTAAATCTGACATTCTCACCTTGTAGTGCACTGACAGTTAATGGAGAGAAACATACACCTGACCTCTCAGAGCCACTTAACCACATAAGATAAAGTACTCACTTAATGTTA